GGGCTTATTTATTTTTAAGACTTTATTTAACTTTCATTTATTTATTTATTATTTTAACTTTGACCAGAGAGGGACAGAGTGAGAGAGAAAGGGAAAGTGAGAAAGCAAGCCGCCAGGTCCGGGACTTGAGCCGCAGTTGACCATGTGAGAGTCCAGCACCCTTAACCACCATGCCACCTGCTGGCCCCCTTGTAATAAATAAGGCAAGTACACGACATCTGTGGCATGCTGCGGGGTGAGATGCTAGGGAGCAGGAAAAAGCAGGATGGGTGGAGTCTGAGGAGAGGCTGAGGCTAACCAGCTGCTGTGGCTGGCAAGGCCTCGCTGAGACATGTTTGCGTGAATCCCAAAGGAGGAGGGGAAGCTATTCGAGGCAGAGGGCATAGCAGGCTTTTTGATCGCCAAAGGGCATGTGTGCTTGCTCTGAGGGGGAGCATGTCTGGGGTGTCTGAGATGCAGTGAGGGGCCTGACGTGCTGGGGAGAGGCAGGGCAGGTCACGGAGGCCACCGTGAGCACTCTCGGGAACCACGAATGAGCTGAAAGCAGCAGCCCAGAAGAGGGGGCATGGGCTGTAAGGTGGACTGACTCGGGGGAGGGCAGTGGACTGAGGGGGGCTGCCAGGGTGTGCGTAGCGGAGGGGAGAGAAGTGGCCAGATCCTGGGCAGTTTCTGCAGTCAGAATCGACAGGGTTTGCCCGTCAGCTCCCAGGAAATCAACCTGGCGTGGAAAGCAGACACTCCCTCATGTTGGAGGAGAGCTAGTCAGACCTCGGGGAGGCTGAGTCCCAGCGCGATGTCAGATCTAAGTGCTGTCCCTCAGAAGGGAGGAAGGTCGTGGGGTCTGCCCGTGGTGACAGTAATGGCCGCAGCTGCGTCTGTGTGTTCTGCTGTTTTTGCGTTCTCTCGGTCTCCTCCTCTGTCGTTGCCCCGTCCCCACTTTTGTCTAGACTGTCCCCTACCCTCTGCTTTCCTGCCCTTGTGGTCACATCTCCAGCTTCTCTCACAATGCTTCATTTTTTTTTTAATTGCCAAAGGGCACATTTAATTGCCACAGGATCAGACAGAGAGAGAGCACAGAGGGAGGGAGAACGCACCTCCCTGGTGGGCCGTGGTCATACTGCAGCCCTTTCTCTGTGTTTCTCCAACTTGTCGGGATTTGGGGCATGCATGTATTCACACCTGCTGTGGTTTTCAAGCCACCGGGGCCAGGATTCGAACTTTGTCAGCTCTGTGGGATCCAGCCCTCTTAACTACCAGGATACCAGGCTGATACCAGGCACCTCACTTGCATGGCCATTTCTAAGGGCCCAGGAACCACTCCATGTTGATGAGAGAGTGTGTACATGCATGACCCTCGCAGCATCGGCATGCCTTATTTGAGTGTGAGTGGTTTGTGTGTGTGTGTGTGAGTGTGTGAGTGTTACTCTGGCTGTATGTGAGGTATACGTGCATTTGGCCGCCTTGAGAACCTATGTGTGTGGGGCTGAAGGCACTGGCTGTGTGACTGTGTGTGCGGATGGGAGTGTACTGTAGGAGGTGCAATGTAGGAAGTGTCCTTTCTCTTCTTTACCCATTCACACTTGCTCCCATTCTAAGAGGCCCAGATCAAGCCCACACCTCCAAGAAGCCAGCTGGCTTTTCTGGTCCCTCCCTGCCTTCCATGGCCCTGCCTGGCTTAGCGCAGACCCATCTCCTAGAGTGCCAGCTGCCCACAGAGCGGAGGGCAGGGCGGGCTTGCTTGCATGCACCTTGGCCCCATTCAACCATCGGGCTAGATCTCCTCAGGTCACCTACCCGCCCCGCCACCATGGGTTGCTCTAACCGGCCTCAGAAGAGCCTGGCAGGGTACCTCCAGCAGGCAGCAGGGGCTGTACCCGGGAGCCGGCTCCCTTCCTCCCTGTAGGTGCTGGCAGAACTTCCAGGCGGCAGGGTAGAGCTCTATTCTGCACTCTTATGGAGCCTGGGACCCCAGAAACTTGTGGCACTTAGGCAAGCCCAGCCCCACCCTTTGCTTCCTCCACCCAGCCTCCAGCGGCCTCCAGCAAGGGGCCTCCCCTCTGGTTCAGGCTTGGAGCAGTCATGGGCTCCCTCTGGTCAAAACCCCTTTTCCCAATCTACCCCTTTTTCTTCCAAGACACCGGTTTCTCTGCGAACCCCTTTCTCTTGAGCCATTGGGAACTGGGCTTTCCTTTTAGCCAGAGGTGCCTGGGCAGAGTGGACAGTCACCTTAGAGGTGCCTAAACAGCCCTCACTGAGACCATGGACATATGGGAGGTGAGCACAGTTCAGTCTCCTTCCCCTGCCCCCAGGCCAGCCTCCCTCCCTCAGTCCTGGCCCTCAGGGGCCTGCCTCAGGGCCCTTCTGCTAGCTGTTAGCTATCCTCCCCCACCTGCTCAACTCCTCCCTCTCCAAGGAGGTGTTGAAATGTCACCTTCTCCACAGGGTCCACATGGCCCACCCACTTTCCCACTGTGACCTGCATATCCACATGCATGTGCACACACACACACATGTATACCCACACACACGTGTGCATGCACTCACACCTGCATTCACGCTCCCACCGGCCCAGCACTCTCGCACCCAGCCTGCCGTCGCTCTCTTTGCCAGCACCCTTGCCTACTGGTATGTCACAGAATCTGTTCATTTTACCTGTTGTGTTCTCCCTGAGACTGTGGGCCCCATGGTGGGGGGACCTTCGCTTTGTGCCCTGATGTGTCAAGTTCTCTGGCAGCCGTTTCAGGGGCTCCATGGACATCTGTTTGAGTAGTTGCTGGGACTGGAGAGGAGAGACCTCGTAGGAGAATGGAAATCTCTTCTCCAAAACCATATCCGCCTCTTGGAGGGGGGAGGGAGAGGAGAAGAGAGATCCTCACTGGACCCCTGGACCTCAGCCCGCCTGCGCTCTTCCCTGGAAGCCTGCTATGGGTGGGAGCCACTGCCCTGCACACACATGTTCCACCTGTGCATGGCCCGTGTAGTCCTTCTGCACGCGCTGCTGACGTGGCTGTGGTTTGAGGCCCCAGAGGTGCAGGTTAGAGTCAGGGCATCCTGTCCTCTGCGGCTGCAGCAAAAGCAGAACACCTTCCCTCCCCACCCCCCACATACATGCTCACACACACATGTGTGCATAGACAGAGGGACAGAGGTGGCCCCAGGCTGGCTGTCAGACCTCATGCACAGGAGCTGTGCACCTCTCTGCACAGCTGGGGAGGGAGACAGGAGGCAGGGAAAGTGGAGTGGGCTCCCTCCGTTGTGGCTGAACGTCATCGTCACCCACCGTCACTGCTTGTGCTTTGTGCCCTATGCACGGGCCCTGGCTTCTTCAGTTAGTTCTTACCTTTGGGGGAAGTGCAGCTCTCGTTTGCCTTCTCGTGTCAAAACCACATCCCCCTGGGATGGGTGCTACCTTTAGGCCTCGGCAGGGTGGAGTCATCTGTGCCTGTGGTCCTGGGGCACTAGCTGGTTCCCTGACTGGAAACCTGCCAGGCCCGGCCCCACACTTAACTCCATCACTGTTGCCTTTCCTTGTGGGCTTCTACTCAAAACTAGGCGTTGGACTTCATGCCAGCTTTGCATGTGCTTAGGCAAGCCCCCTGACTTGTGCCCGTTTGCTCCCTTGCAGAGCTACTGGAAGGGCACACGGGTCTGTACACGCAAAGCATAGCACCTCTGTGCAGGGAGGTCGGCAGAGCCAGGGGGGCCTGAGGACGGCCTTTATCAGGCTTTGCAGCCCAGGTCTCCTGAGCCCCACAGTCCTGGCCGCCTTAGGGACTCTAAGGGAGCAGGTGGGCAGGCTGGAGGCTGACCCCCCTGGCTTCTCTTGCCTCTGCAAGTCCCCTCTGCCCTGCAAGGCTCCACCCCTGCAGGAAAGATGCCCAAGAACCTATTGCCTGAAGCCCCACGGCTGCTGCTTCCTGCAGCCTCAGTTTCCTCTAGTTTGACAGGGGGTAAAAACTCCCTTGTCACAGGGTTAATGTCAAGTGAGGTCGTGGGTGAACAGTGCCCATGAAGCCAACCAGAGCCATCTCTTATTGCTGCTGTGGCCCTGGTGGGAGGGCACCTGCCCGCTGCTCTGAGGTTCCCAGCAGGGTCTGGCACACAGTCCTGTCAGGTCCAGGAGAAACTCGCTGACCAGGTTGGGCCCCAGTTACCCTTCCCCCTGCTCTCTTGGGGTGCTGAGTGATCACCCAAAACAGAGCCTGAATGAAGAAGGAAGGAAGGGAGGAGGGGCTGTGCACAGCCAGGCCCCAGAGGAAGTTGAGAGCTGGGCCGTGGTGTGACAGTTCCAGGGCCTGCACCACAGTTCCTGCTCCCCACCCCGCTGATGTCAGTGGGGACAGCATGGCCCCGCCACCTCCGGAGGCCTGGATAGCAGAAGCGCGACTCCCGTGGCTACTCTGCAGCAGACCCGGGCAGCCCGGACTCGTCTCAGAGTCGGCCTTCCCCTCGCCAGGTCCTTTTTATGAAAGGCACCTCTTCACCCTTGCCGCCCATCTCTCTCTAGAAAATTATCTATGAAGCACCTACGATAGGCCATGCGGTTTCACATCCACAGCCTCCTTTAACCCTCCACAACACCCTGGCACCGGCTCCAAGAGGCTCAGTGCCTCGCTGAGCTCACACAGCTGTAGGCGGTTGAGCTGGAACTTCGGACACAGAGTTCCTCCTGCCTACAGGTGGGTGAGCTGGTGCTAGGAGCTCACTCAAGGAGGAAATGGACACCCAGTCTGGGAAGTGAGTGCCCCGGGCCACGCCACAGGCTCCTGGCAGACACCAGCTGGGTGACAGAACTTTCTTTGGCCTGATGGGAGGGGCTCTGCTGGGAAGCCGAACTCCTTCCCTGTCTCTAGGTCTCTGCTCAGAGACCACTCTGGGAGAGAAGCCTCTCTGGACAGTGCCAGATGAACGGGGGGGACCCTGTTACCCTCTACCCCAGCCCGGCTTTTATTTTTCTTTCATGGCATGTTATTTGCAGTTTTACACATCAAATTATTAGATGTTTTTTACAATTTATTCTATTTCTTTTCATAATGAGAGACCATGACAGACACCTCCAACAAGGTCCCAGCGTGCTGGGATTCCCCACCCCACTCTAGCCAGCCAGAATCACAGGTGTTCACGCGGGCATCCCGTGTTTCAGGTCAACCCAGATGGACACCTCGCTGGGCCACATGGCTCCGGCATTGCCACGCAGGGTGCTACCGTTGGCACCAGGCAGCTGGGGCCCCCAAGGACTTACTCATCTTCCATCCCCCTCAGCTAGTGAGCCCCCGAGCTCAGGGAAGGCCTGTCTTGTTCCCAGGGCCGAGAGCAGTGCCTGGCACATACTCAACCACTTTCTGCGTGGTGAACGGATGAATGAGAAGGGTCAGTGGTAAAGGAAGACGCACAAGTAGGGGAAAGTTTGGTGTGAAGACGAGCAAGCCAAATAGATCATTCTAGGTGGAGGAGGGGAAGGAGAAGTCACTTAGAACGAGAAGGAGCAGGGCCACCCCGGACGGCCATGTGGTCTGGCACATAGGCCGCGGCTGAGTGGTGCCCCCTCCAGTTGTAGTTTTTAGTGGATGACTGTACGTGGCATCCCTGGGGAGCCTCCGGACAGAATGATGTTTAATCACCTCACCAGGGCCCCTGGGGATGAGGGCGGCAGAGTAGGGGCAGGACTACAGGTGCATGTGGCAAGAGGAACAGGCTGTACCCTCCACGAGGACACCACGTGGTTGCGGTTAGCAGTTTGCCATCCGGTACTGTCTCCGCAGACGGTTGTCCAGGGAGGGGGGAGGAACTGTTGTGCTGTTCACAATCTCCGGTACCTGGAGTGCCGGCGGGACGCGGGCAGGGAAATCACCCGGCACGCCCCACAGACACACCAAACGCTGTGGACAAAGATAATCGCTGCGGTGGGAGGGAGGGTTGTTTCCTGAGCTGGTGGCCTGCGCGCTCTGGAGGTGGGGGACACCATGTTCTGAGCAGGGGCTGGGGAGGAGCGTGGCCCTGCTGCAGTAGCCCGGCCCCTTCCTCCTCCCAGGCCCACAGGCTGGGCACCACAACAGTCGCCCTGTACTCTGGGTCGGTGAGTCACCTTGCCCATGGCGAGCCTCACTCCTCGATGTTATCACGCCTCCGCTTACTGCTTACTTAATCCGCTGGCTGACATCACCACGCCTCTGCCTCCTTCTCGGCACTGCAGCCTCCAGCCGGCAGATCCTGGAAGGGAAGGCGGTGCAGGTCTCTTGGCAGAAGCTGCTAGGGCAGGTAAATGGGGACCTTCAGGTCCTTGGCCTCTAGCCCCAAGGGGTTTGGCCTAGTTTCTTGCTTTGCCAAACAGGATCCTCAGTTTACCTCCCAGGACATGCCCTCTGGAGCCCAGTCCTGAGAGACACTTTCCCACCCTCCTGCACCCTCCCCCTCCTCTGTTCAGAAGGGGCTCCTCTGGGACGAGAGCTTCACGTAGGCCAAGGTGTGTCTAGTTGTGACCTCGGATGGCACATCCTCCGCTGACCTGGGCTTTTTGTTATTTTTAAAAATGATTTCTTCCATAAAAGAGAGAGAGAGAAGACAAAGACAGAGAGACAGTACCCCAACAGGGCCCCAATGCCACAACCACCTCAGGCTTCAGCAGCCCTGGGTCTCGGGCAAGCACGTGCTTCGCGTACTCAGGGAGTCTCTGAACTTGAACCTGGAACCGTCCATGTGGGACTACCTCGCAGAGCATCCGGTTTCACTGCTGCACCACCCACTGTCTGGCCCCTGACCCAGGCCTGTGCTCTAAGTTCTGTCTAGCACAGGGCGCTAGAGCTGCCTGCAGGCTCCACCATGACCTTTGGGTCCCTGCTCAGATGTGCTGCCCTGCTGGCCTTCTGCCACCTCTCTGTGCAGCCACCCTGCCTGGCACCCAGCCTTCCTTCTCTGCCTCTACATCCTGGGCAGCCTCCAGGGAGCTGAGGCCAGGCCTTCTCTGTAGCCTCCCCACCCAGCCCTCCCTTTGTTACCCTTCTTGGTGCTGATCCATTGTTGGTGGCACCTAGGAGATGCCATCGGGTCAGTAGAGTAGTGACATAGGTGACAGAGGTAGGTGTTGTCCCATTTCACCTGCCTTGGTCCCCTGCTCTGCAGCCAGGTGGGATGAGAAGGCAGGGGCTCTGTTCCTCTCCCTGCACTGTTCTCTGCCCCCACCCCACCCCCATCTGAGCTGGACAGTGCAGGGGCGAGGCCGAGTAGCCCTGGGGAGAGGTTCGCTAGGGCTGACCCTGGGGCATGCTGGGAGGTTGCCCTGTCCTGGCACGTGAGGGAGGCAGTGAAGGGCAGTGGATGGGGCTGGGCAGGGGGAGAGCCAGCTCAGATCTGCCCAGCATCCTCTGTGACCCCAGGAGATAGCTCCTTACGTTGCTGCCAGAGGCCAGGAAGAGACCGTTTCTACATACCTGTCACTTTTACTCTAGTGAGTTGACTAAAACCCTTTAGAGAACAAAGAAAAGCAAGAAAAATACAAAAACCAAAAAGCCTGATTGAGGTCACAGCTCTTACCTCAGTGGCTCATGAGCACGTCCTGAGAGCAGATAGCACCCCTCCCATCCCGTGAGAAAGGCGAGTCCGCCGTGCCACTCTGCACACGCCGGCCCGCTCGGGGTCCTGGAACGCTGCGGGTGCTGTTCCAAGTAGGGAGGGGCAGGCTCTGGAGAGAGGCCTGAGGAGTGTGCCTGGGCTCAGCCCCCCCTGGTCCCCCTGTTCCCTCACTGTCATGGAGGATGATGGAGGAGTCATTGAGCTAGCACATGTGGGAGTGCTGGAGTGGGCACTAGCCAGCAGACGGGCCGGGGGCCTGTACAGGAGCGCAGGGGGCCTTAGGGAAGAGGCCCCACCTCAGTGATTTATGGTCTCAGATCCCTGGTCTTAGGCTCCCTCAGTACTGAACTGACTTCTCGTAAGTGCTCCTTGAGAGTGACGGGCACCATTGCTGAGCTTGGCTTGTGGTCTGCTCAGACCTCTGGATCTTTTCCCAAGTTCTAGAACATAAACTAGCCAAGTCTCGAGGGTGATAGGCCTTACTTTCCTCCTTGGTTGCAGATAGAGTTCAAATTCTAGTCACCCTGCTCAGCTGGAGAGGATGGGCTGACTTCCACTGTAGTTTGGGCCCTTGTCCCCTTCAGCCCTGAGGCAAAAGCTCACCTCCAACTCTTTATCCCTTGTTATCTTTCTCTCACCAGCCTGTTCTTCCACTTGGTGCTAGGTTAGTTCCTGGTCCCGCTGCCCATCCCCCAGCGGAGGCTGAGTCATCCCTGACCACTGCCTCCTGTCCACTGCGGCTGATTAGCCGGCTCCTCTGGTGGACTCGAACACGCTGGTATCTTGAGTCTTCATCTCCTCTTCCCTGCCTCCTCTATGGTCTCAGTTTCTATGACATTAGGTTGTTGGGGAAGTCATGACGTGTTTTTCTGTGCAAAATGCATCATGACTTTGCCAATAACCCAATAGTTTAGGTCCTCATCTTTCTTTTATCTTTTTAAAGACTTGTCTACTCAATTTTATTCATTATTTTTTTAAAAAAGAATTATTTATTTAATTCCATTTGTTATTTTTCCATTCGACCAGATAGAGACAAAGAGAGAGAGAGAGAGAGAGAGAAAGGGAAAGCGAGAAAGCAAGCCACCAGGCCTGGGACTCAAACTGTGGTCGGCCATGTGAGAATCCAGCGCCTTTAACCACCATACTACCTGCTGGCCCCCATTTTATTCATTATTTTTTAATTTGACCAGAGAGACAGAGAGAGAGAGACAGAGATGGAAAGTGAGAAATCAAGCTGCCAGGTCCAGGCCGCAAGCTGCGGTCAGCCATGTGGGAGTTCAGTGCCCCACCCACCATGCCACCTGCCGACCCTCAAGGTTTTCATCTTTCAGTGAAGGCAGTTGGACCTCCTCGGCCACCCTCCACATGGCTGTCAGGGGGCTCTTTTCTGATATGTTGACATCTCCTTACTCCCTCCTGGCGGTGCCCACTGCCTGCCTTTCCAGCCTGATGCTCAGCACTGCAGGACACAGGCGGGTCACGTGCATGTTAGAAAGTGGGCCCACGCTGCTTCCCTACGTGTGTTCAGGCTGCCAGAAAAGCTTTCCCTTCCCATCAAGCTGGAGAGCCTCCTCCTCTAGGAGGCCTCCCTGACTAGAGGTAGACTGCTTCCTCCTCGGACATTCTACCCTGTCCATCTCACAGGACAGACCCCTCCCTGTGGTGTCTTGCTAGCTACAGACTCAGGCCCACCCCGGCCACAGATGGGCCCTCATCCTCTCTCCGCCATGGTGGGTAAGAGCCAGGCCGACCTGGGCGGGGCCGCTTGTGCTGGTTCCCGCTGGAGACCTCTGATAAGTGACTTTATCTCTCTGAGCCTCCCTTTCTTCTTCTGTCCAATGGGATAATAACATTACCTGCTTCCCAGGACGGGCAGCTGAGCCTGCCAAGGCCCTGACGCAGAGCCTGGTACACCACGAGTGGGCTGCAAGTGCTCCCATGTGTCCTCTGTCCCTGTGAGTTATGAGGACAGGGAGAAGGCATGTCAGCCAGAACCCCGGGGCTCCCCAGCACAGCCCTCCCCCGTGCCCTGCTCACGCTCTTCTCCTTTCTGTCTCTCCAGCCAGACATGGCTTGAGCAAGGACTCTGTCCCTGAGCCAGCACTTCCTGCCAGCACCCAGTGCTGTCCCTGAGGGCTGTGATGTCCAGGGTCAGAGTTGTTCTCAACCTGGGAACTGGGCGGGAGCCATGAGCTCCTCCCCGCCTGCAACTGCAGGACCCCAAGGCCTCAAACAAGGCCCCAAAGCTTGTCCCCTCACAGGGAGTGAGAAGCTGAACTGGCACTGTCATGAACCGTGGTCCTCCAGCACGCTGCCCTGCTGCTGCCCCGCTGCTGCCCCTCCTGCTCTTTTTTCTCATCTGTGTGACCTCAGTCTCCTCATCTGCAAAACGGGTCTAATGATGGCGTCTTCCTCACCAGGGCAGTGGAAGAGCAATGGGGTTAGGCTGGGAGTTTGTGGGGAGGTGGAGGCCCTGCTGTGTGCAAGGCGGGCAAGCCTGGCGTGGAAGAGGTGGGAGATCCCACAGGAGGAGCACCAGTGAGGCCCGGTTCCAGCTGCCAGAACCGGTGCCTGAGTCCACAGCGCCCCCTGCTGGCAAGCCAGCCAGAAGCTCCCTGTGGGCAGCACCAGCCCCACGCTGGCCTGTCCCCTCAGTGCCCACTGGGAGGTAGTCACCCCTGCTCTAGCGAACCCGGACTAGGGGCGGGGAGCTGGGGCGTCGATCTGAGAGGGGAGCTGCCTAGACCAAGCCCTTTCTTCTCCCATGAGCCCTGGCAACTTTTCCAGAAAGTGGGCAGCATGGGTGGTCTGGCCCAGGCTCAGCAGCTACCCCTCGGTGAGGACTGCCTCCTGCACCCTTTGCTTCCTGGGTGGGCTTCTCACCATCACCCTCAGCATCAGGGGATGGTGCTGCAGCCCCCGGGGCCCACCCCGCCTTCCTCCCCCATCAGCTGTTCCCTCCACATCAGCAGCAGCTCCATTATGGGGCATTGCCTTAGCCTGCATCTGTGCGAGGTGCTGGGGATTCATGGGGAAACAAGCCCCTGACCTGCCCCCCAGGAGCTCAGGAGCTCATTCCCTCCTCACCCTCTCTCTGCCATTGTCTTCCTCTCCCTGCGCTCCAGGATCTGCCAGAGAGGGGGTACGGGGCAGCTGTGGGGGGCAGACACACCCAGGCTGAAGTGCATCCTATCCCCTCAGGAAGGTCTCCCAGCCTCCCCCTCCCTAGGCCCTTCCCACTGGCTCTGATGGAGCCCGGTCGGATTTTCCTGGCCTTAGAGTTTTGCAGGATCTCCTGGGGTGTGCGGCTTTGTCCTGGGTACCTTTACTCCCCTAGTCACTTCCCTGCACTCCTGGCAAGACCCAGGGCCAGCCCACACGTGTTCATTATTACTGGGCACAGTTTGCCCCCAGGGGACATTTGTCAACGTCTAGAGGTAATCTGCATGTCACAGCTTGTGGGAGGAGATGCTACTGGCTTCTCGTGGGTAGAGGTCAGGGGTGTTGTACGCTTTCCATAAGGCACAGGTCGGCTCCCAGCAGCAAAGGCCTATCCACCCAATACGTCAATGGTGCCCAGGTTGAGAAGCCTGGAATGAAATGAGTCCTTAGACGTGGGATTAACATAGAGGCCAAGAAGGGGCTGTCTTAGTCCACCGTGTTGCCAACAGAAACCCCTGAGGCCGGGTGACTTTGAAACAGATAGTAGTTTGTAGATTCACAGATCTGGCCATGTGGAAGGCCCAGAGGCATCACACAGGGTGGAGGCAGAGCTCTGAGCAGAGAGGCCACGTCCACACGGCCTCTGCCTGCCTCATTTCCTCTGCTTACGAACACACCAGGCCTCCGTCCTGGAGGCCCCGCCCTAACCACCAAGCACTAATCTTTTCCCAACAGTGCCCCCTTCAACACCATAACTGGAACAAGTTTTCACCCTGTTAATCCCATGACACTGGTTTAACGTGAGCTTTGGGGAGGCCTTACACGAACCAGAGCGGGCCAATGGCTCAGGTGGAATCGCTCACTCTTCTGGAGAAGGCTGAGCAGGCCTCAGGGGAGACGCCAGCTCCCCTCCTGTGCTTCTGCATCCCCAGGTGCCTCCCACACCCTTGGCGTAAGGCTGGCCCACCTGAGTGGACAGAGGAGCTGGAGGGGCGGAGGGGCGGAGGAGCCAGGGTCTGTTTAGAGAGCCCATGAGGAAGTGGGCTGTGCCTCGAGAACCCCTGGGAGCAAGGGGCAGCTGGGCCTCAGTTTAGTCATCTATAAAACAGGGACAGGTGGTCCCTTCCAGTTCTAATGGCCAGAGGTCCTGGACCGTGTCTCAGATGTGCACAAGGCCTTTCTCCCCACACTGCGGCTCCAGCAGGGCAAGGGAAGAGGAAGGGCTTCCATTCTCTTGGCCAGATGTGGGGGGCTCTTATGCTATAATTGCACTCCCGAGAAACAGCTGTATGAACAGGAATGCTTTGATAGCCTCCATCAAAGCGTCCGCGTGGATCCTGAGGACGGGCTGGGGGAGGGCTGTAGAGCTTCCAGCTGAGAACAGCTGTTGGCCAGGCCCCAGCAGAGGTGGAGGCAGCAAAGGGCGCCCCTCTCCTTGGTTGGGGTTAGAATGTATGAGGCTTGTCATCCCTAGATAGCCCTCTCTGGCTCTTCAGGGCCCTTTTCTGTGCTCTCTCAAGGTGGGCTCAGTGACCTGGGGTTCTTGGCAGCCAAGCAGAGATCTCTTATGAAGAGCTCTGTCACTGTGAGGGGCCTAGTGCGATGGACCAGGACAGGGGTCCCCCAGGAGGACAGGGGGAAGAAGCCCACAGAGACCCTCTCAGCCCTGGTAACCTGAAGGAGCCCGGCTCTCTGCCTAGCGAGGGGGCCCCGAGCAATACCCTCTGCGGCCTTTAGAGACCTGCCTCATGGAGGGCGTCTCTGCTCATGGGCCACACTGGACCCCAAAAGGAGACAAGCAGGCAGGACTGGCTGGAGACCTCCCTGCCCGCCAGCACCCCTTCAACACTGTCCACAGTGAATCTGTTGCCCAAGCAGGGTCTTTTGCAAGGGCAGTGTGCCCATGTGTGCATGTGTGTTTACACGCACATGTGGGTATGCTGCACAGGGGCTGGGCTGGAATATCTGTGAGTCTTCGGGTGGCTTTGTAGGTAAGGGTCTGTTTTGGAGTTGGGCACTCCTGGGGCCTGATGCTGGAATCTCCCCTGAAATGCTTTAACTCCTCTGGCCTCAAGCTTCCTCATCCACCAATGGGCGCAATTCCTGCCGTGTGGTTGCGGGGAGGGTTGCATGAGGAAATGAATGCCCAGGACATAGCAGTGGTTTCTGCTACTGCTATTGTTATCATCATCATCATTGTCGTTGACGTCACTTGTGTTAACATTGTGGTTTCCAGAATTCAGCTTTGAAGTAACGTATCACTTTAGCCTGTTGTTGAAAACAAAGGTCTTTGCTAGCACCATCAGGTTTTTTAGTTAGTTTAATTTTGTTTTTTAAACTTGCAGAGGCACAGTTGTGGGAAGTGTTAGCTCCAGGAATAGCTTGACGTTCAGGGTACAGGCTGAGAACCATAGTTGGGGGTCCAGTTACGATATAGTAACATGTTTGCTTCTTTCTTGACGGGCTAGGGCCATCATTATAAAGTGGTGATGGGTATAAATGATATTTCAAAAGAGCTGCAACCATTTTAAGGGGATCTAACAATGTCTGTGATTTCTATTGGTGACAAGGCTCAGGTTCTGCAAATACTGTCTAAGTGACTCCTCACTTAATGACCCACCTGTTTAACCACCTCTCCAGCATGGGGAAGCCCCTATCTCAGGCCGCGTGGCTCGGGAATCCCCTTTCTCAGTCTTTGTCTCATTCTCAGTGGGTTCGTATTCACTACATGAAGCGTTTGCCTCCATGCAAGACTACATTTTTCATTTATACATTTGTACTTTATTGTGCAACCATAGAAGTAGTCAGAATAAATAAAAACAATTATGCTAGATTTATGTTATTATTTATATTATTGATAATATATTTATATTATTGTGTGGTGGTGTGTGTTGTTGCTTTCTGAAGCTTATCTAACATATGTTTTTTGTATGGATAGAATGACATTCTAGCGTGCTGTTGTGTAGTATCTATTGAAAAATACATACGGGAGGACCAGCAGTTAGTGTAATGGCTATGTCACTGAACTCCCACGTAGTCGACTGTGGTTCACGTCCCGGATCTGGTGGCTTAAAACTCACGCCGGGCATGAGTGCATGCGTGCCCAAGATCCCGAGAGGAGAATGGAGGAGAAGGGATTGCCGTGTGGCCACCCCCCTGGGGGGTGATTTCTTGCTTTCTGTCTCTCTGTCTCTCTCTGTCTGGTGAGCGCACATGCCCTATAGCAAAAAAACCTCTAAAAAAAAAGAAATAGAAAAATACATACGTGGTGGCACCACAACACATCACAAGACATCGCTTTAAGCTCCTCCCTTATCAACCAATTTGCTTAACAACTTGGTCGCAGGAACAGAACTGGGTTGTTAAGTGAGGAATACCTGTACATTTTTCCTGTATTCACATCGAAGGAAAATTCTAAATTTCAATTAGAAGCTAGTCAAAATAGATACTTTTTTCCATCAAAATTCATAGACCCCTGAATTATTTTTCTTTTAGTTTACTTCTTTCTTTCATGAGAGTGAAGGACAGAGAGAGAGACAAGCACCTACAACAGGGCCTCACGGGGCCATCCCCGTTTTCTCAGCCAGCCAGGAACATGGGCATGAGCATGCCTGGCATGTACAGGTCGGCTGGGGAACCAAACTGGTGACCGTCCATATGGCTTCCAGCGTCACTTGAGCAGTGTTACCACTGAACTACTGAGCCAGCCCTGGATCCCTGAATCCTATTCACAGACCTCTGCAGGAGGGGGGCATCTGTGTAGTCCAGGTTAAGAGAATCTGTTCTAGAGGGAAACCCACAGGAGGACTGAAAGAATTAGAGAGGCAAGAGTCGCCCCTACCCAGA